TTCTGTTTGTTAAAAAAGCGCGGGCTAGCAAATCGAATGATGAGATGGCAGTCAAGGCATACTTTCCATATGGGTACCGACCGCGGGCGATGTATGTCGTGAGTCGTGACCGTCCAGACGCATGGTACTATATTTTGTTACCGAGGCTTTCATCTTTTCCAGTGTCTCCTCCATTTATCAAATCGTTCCATTGTGTCTTCCCATCTCCGTGAAGCTGTTATTGCAAAAAAAAAATCCACCCTCCATGGTCCAGCTCCGATATCGCTGCCTGGATTTCAACAGTGAGTACCCTATAGTTGCGCTTTGCCCGATCACAAGTTCGGAATTTTGTGTGCCTTCATCTGGGTGAGGTTACCTCGATATTTTAGAGGCCCCAGAGACTTTGGGCATTCAGGCATCAGTCTCGCCGCGCATTCAGAATCACGCTATTTTAACTCGGTACTCTGTGAATGCGCAAGTATTCCCGCTGCATCTGACAGAAAGGTCATGGCTATCCGTCTGACGTTCGAGCACGCCGTTCCGCTTGCTTCTGCACACCCTTCTGGTGCCAGTAACTTGGGATTCGATATATGTACACCGATATCAATATGACAGAATTATTATCATGCACATTGCACATGGAGGCTTTTGATGACCATTTGCTGGCTAAAATCAAGAGAGTTGGGCGAAGATGATGGCAGACAAGTTCCATACAGGGACCGCGCTGCACTACGCCATGACTGGGAGACAAAGCCACAGCACAGCGGCATTGAAACAGGATACTATACGGAGTACCAGGCATTAATAGAAAGAGGAAAAGGGGAAAAGCTTCAACGCAGCCTGGTGCGTGGCTGCCGAGCTTCCATATTTCTAGATGGAGCGCACCTAGGTGTAGGGTATCCGGTTCATAAGCCCAGGGATGCAAAGCCTCTCCATTCAATTAATGTTACAATCCACCACACTTGCCACTTCACAACCTGTAATGATCTGAGTCGCGGCTCTCGAGCGGTAGCCGCGGCAAACAATGTGATCGATGCAAAGTTGGCATCAGCCATGGTTGTCTAGGCCACAACACCCAACCACAGTGGTTGGTCAGCGATCAATGGCCTTACCGATATTGATGAAACGAACTATCCGACAGCCGGTGGGCATGGCAATTGCCCAGATATCGCCCAAATCTTCGAAGCACTGGCTGGCTTGATGGCTTGGTGGGAGCACAGTGGGCCTAAATCGAACGGTATCAAAGTGCTGGTACTACCACAATTCAACCTACGGTACGGAGTACGACAGTGAAACTGTGGGCAAAGTATAACTCCAATTGGCATCGGTGAGGCGGGCAGATGCGCACAGCATCTTTGTACCGCTGCATTTGAAGACAGAGGAGGTTGGCTACTGCGAAAACGCAGCACGTAATGCAGAATTTCGCCCGCCATTACTCCGTACTCCGTAAACCGAGGAGGAAAAGCCCATGGTTGTTGGCCTTGGGGCAGTGCAACTGGACCTCGAGGCCTCAATGGCCTTGCAATCCATACCTTTGTTCCGGAAGCATCGGCAGCCAGTTTGGATCGTGGCACACAGCTGATCAAACGACGCCGAACATGACCCGAGAGATATACAGAGACCGCGAGAAAAACGATGCTGACCGTTGTCCGATGCCTAGGCGTCGACGTCTGCGGGTTTCTTTCCAGTGCAGATGCAATGGAATTTGCTAGGCGCACATCCAAGAGCTTTAGATGGTGCTGTCGTCATGGAAGAACTGCAGATCATTCAGTCTTTTCCCTGTCAGCGGCATCATCGTGGATGGAGCTGGCGCCGATGCAGTGCATATGCCAACCCTGTATTCTGCAGTAGTGGCATGGCGTCCAACCTAATTGTTCCTGTCTGACTGGGCAGCGCCACCAACTACGAAGCAGCTGCCCGGGTATTGCCATAGCGTCGACGCATGTGCGGGCCAGGTGGCTTGCTCTTCTCCAAAGATCTACCAAGCTTTCCCGCCCTCTGACGATGGGCTTTTCCCTTGTGCAGTTTCACAGCGTCATGGGAAACCACTTGTTTCAGATGCGAGAAAGCAGACCTGTCGACACCACTCGGCCGATTCAGAACCCTGCACGGACAGACAGTGAGTGCACTTTCCGTTGTTGTCGCCAGATAGGTACTCCGTACTCCGTATTGTCTTTGCTGATCAAGAGTTGAGTACGACTTGCGTCACGATGCGTATTGCATGTCCAATTGGCCTCGAGTTGCGGCACACGAGGAAGCGGAATATGGCCATTTCAGGCCACGCCAAAGCCAATTGTGTCCCAAGCGTCCAACAACCCGTGGCTTGGCTGGCCGATATTGAGCAAGATGGTGTGAAGGAACCACAACCTTGACAACGAACACGAAGTCGGGCCAGGGCAACACGGTGGTGATGTGCGTGCCTGGCGTAAGAAAACACTGGGGCTGGCGTCGCAATGGAAGCGCCCACGTCCAGGAATAGCTCCTTAGCTCCTTCGAAACGACGGAGCTCGAGTCTGCTGCTGTTTGCTGGGCCATTGCAGCAGCGAGTTTCAATCGTCTGCTGTCCACCGACTTGAAACGAGACTGTGGCAATGGGTCCGTCCTGGAGATGCACCGACGCCCAACATGTTGAAAGGATGAGCGGGTTTCCCTTTGATCGGTGCTCGGAGATATTTGCCACCAACGCCTGCTTGAAGCTGTGGCCATTGTCCATCCAGCATCTCCTTCTGGTGCCTGAGAGAATTGACACGTCATGATTGATGGGATCCACTGGAAGCGAGGCAGGACGGCTCGCAGCACAAGCAGTCCTGTCGTGTCGTGTCGATTTACTGAAGTATTGCTGGGCTAGTCTCCAGGTACCGAGGACTGCATGCATGGCATTGCGACTTGGCATCAATTGCGACACTGTACTCCGTACATACGCCAGAACTCTGCAAGCCGTACCGAGTACGTATGTACTCGCACCAGTTGACTCGACGCACATCAGCAAGTTGGTCAAAAACAAGTGCCGACATGGAGTGTTTGAGTGGCCCGGATTCACGGAACATTGAATGCAGAACTTGAGTCCAACATTGAAGTACTTTACTCCATACCCCGTAGATGCACATGATACAGCGGGGCCCCCAGCCAAACCTTCCTGGTAGTGCCTTCCATTCTGGCAGCTGAACAGGGAACATTGAAGCAAGCGCCTGCCGTTCCAGCGATCAATCGATTGGCGACTTGCTCGAGCTCTTACGGAGTACATGTACTGCATGTACACAATTGTCGAGTCCTTTGGCCTGGTGCCAGTTTCCTGGTCAATGACTGGCCAACTGTTGAACGAGCATGGCACTCTAAAGTTGGGAAATTTCGTCTCCCGCCTTTCCCACCTCGTATTCCAGAGCCTGCCTGCGTTGATGCCTGCGTACCTCCAAACTCTCATCGACAAACGTCTTCAATTCAGTTTACACGTACGGAGTACTCAACAGCAAGATATTGACGGTTTGCCAATCTTACGCTCGCCAAACAAAGACACTGCGACTTGGGCCCATCGACTTCTGACCCACAGTCTTCAAGAACACCAGTCGTGCGTTTGTGTGATGTTGGCCCCAGTCGACCACGTTGGGCCGTCTCCCAGATGGAATTTGCTTGTTGACGTCAAAGGACTAGCATTGTCTGACAGAAATGGCGGCTTTGATGGCAGTGTCCCTCATCCACCATCTTGGTCGAACCGAACTGCAGCAAGCCCGCAAAGGCAAGTCCTGACAAGGATGATTAGTTCGTTTGGTACTCCGTACTCCGTAGTAGTTTTGTCGTTCTGGCCGACTGAATAGCGCTGGTGGGTTTTGATGAGACGGGCACGGTGATTGCACACAGCGCAGGTGTAGCAATAAGCCGAAAAGATTCTGGTGTGTACAATGTGGTAAAACATTTATATACCGTGAAACATGCCAATATATTTACTTGCCGTGAAATGTGTGCTAATATACTATGTATTATAATATAATATCTGATAACCAGGTACCGGGTGGGGCGTGAGCGCGCCTAGCAAAACGAGTGAGTCCGCCGAGCAATTCACCTTGATGAATCAAGTCCAACACACCACTGCTGGAGCCCTGCTCGCCATCCCCCTGCACTTGAGCATTGACAGGCTCGCGTCCGTCTCCTGATAAGACTGCAGGAAACGGCACTTCACAATTTGTGCAAACCCTTTGTTGTTAAGGATAGTTAGCGATACGGCATCATCGTGGCCCACGACCCAACACGGCCGATGAACTAGACCGGCCATCCATGCATTCCTCAACATTGGCTGATCGTCCCACCGCGGGCGGCTGAAGTGGGTGTCGCTTTCCGTATCTTCAAGTACGGAGTACCTAGGAGGTAGGTATCTTTCAGTAAGGGACCGTGTGGCTTGGTTGCCCAGCTACCGCCGCAAACGACAGCGCCATCCGGCCTTGGATCATTCTGTTGAACCTTTCAATGTTGGCTCACCTTTGTGGTGCCTTGATTTGTACCCCCGGGTCTTGCGCCACCCCTCCCCCCTCCTTGCCACTCTGCGACAAGGCCAAGTCAAGCGCCGCCCGAAATCCTGGCTGTGTGGCCAAGGAACTTGAGCAACTCCCACTTGAGCTTGTCACAGCTCCTGCCAGGTTCCACCAGGCTTCGGGTTCGGGACGCTGCAAGCATTCGATTTCCTTGCCCAGCCTCTTGCTTAAAACTCCCACATCTTTCGAAACCAACTGGCAAAACTCCACAGCGAGAGCATCCTCAATTTCGCATTTTGATCCAAAACGGCCTTCCTTATCGAGCCGACGCCTGGACCGGTGCGCTGTCCCGCAAATATATCCCAGACACCCAGAACCCTGGGTTCGCGAGCCGTGTTTGCTTAGAATCCATTCTTATCCGCCGACCAACAGACCCTCGAAACGCCCGATCCCTTGACTCCGCCAGCGTCCAAGTTGGCGCGAGCGCCAGGCTACACTCGTCGGATAGGACTGATCAATCCACGCAATAAAAGCGAACCCACACCCCGGTTGTTCGCCATGGCCTCTCGCGGGGACCAGTATCAACAGCGGCAGCAGCTGCAGCGGCCACAGCAAGCACCTTTACAAGCTTCGCCGGAACAACAACAGACAGGACAGACAAAGCAGCGTAGTTACAGCATTCAATCTCAGAAAACCCATCGCAGTAGTGGGAGCAAGCACGATTTCCACGAGACCCACGAGGAAAAGGAAGCTAGACGATTACACAGCAAAGCTGATCCCACATTAGCTATGAACGAAGCTGAGCCATGTACGTAACTAACAATATCCGATGCGTGCTCATGCTGGAGTTATAATCATCATGATTACTGCACTGTCACACTTCTCGAAATCACGATTAACATTGGTACTAGCCATGGTCGCGGCCATGAAGTCGGAACGGACTCAAATCTCTCTTCGCGCAATACAGCACAAGGATACCTGGGGGAACCCCATCGGTATGTTTTGTCGGTCACGTTACAAATAACGCTGGAGTTGGTATGCTGATATCAGGCAGCGGATCCGGACAGATCAAACCCAACCAGAAACCGATGGGAGCGGCCGTTGGACACGATCCGTAGCTTTGAGGCTGCCATTGACGGTGGCTATCAGCGTAAATCACTATATCGAGCAGGCAAGTCGTGTCACTCCAACTTGCCATATTCGTCGTGTCTGATCCGTGGCTAACGCGACTGTCTTTTAGACACTGAGTCAGTAGCAAACTGGAATAGACGGAGCAGTGTCCAAACTGCGAACCAGCCACGATTCCCTCAAGACAGTTACTACGGCGGCCGACCTGTTTCGTTCAGGGGAGATAGCCAGTATGGACTGCCCACACCTGCAACGGCAAGGAACAGCGTCTACGACAATCCAAATGCAGGCGGCGGCTACAATAATAGTGGCTATGACAGAGGATATGCGGGAAGTAGGCACATGTCTCGGGATCGCAGCCAAAGGGTGCAATCCGAGTCGCATCACCAGATGTACGGGCGCGAGCAGGGTGTTTATCCTATGCCTCACAAGGACAGGTCATATGAGACTGTAACATCCGCTGCACCTAGCGGTAGCTCAGACCCTGCCGGCTATCAGACGGACCCTACGTCCAGCGACAACAGCTCGATCGACAGGATATCACCAGCGAAGCGTTCTGAGCCCGTCAATGATTATGGCATCGGATTCAGTCAGACAAATGCGTACGATGTTCAAAACTTCTCTGTCGGCAAGCAGGTTAAGAACCATTCTCTGCCGCCACTGCCACCTCCTACGGAGCCCCAGGCGGCTACTCCCCCCCAATCTGTGCCTCGCAAAGGGTCTCTTTTGCGACGAAAAATATCACAATCAAGTGCCAATCCAGAGAAGCAGAAGAGCTGGTTTAGCCGTCGCTTTAGCAAAAACAGCTAGAGCTCTGTTCTTCTTACCCTTTAATTGGACCGTATTCTTATAGAGGCCTATTTTCCTTTGTCTATATACACGCGCTAGGGGATCCATGGAGTTTTGGCGATGTCGGAAACGGTACTAAAGATTCAGTCTGTTTGAGAGGTCAACAATGTCTTGGAATCAGGGTTATTTTACCACGACTTATTCTCGATACCCGATCATAATGGTTAAACCTAACGGCTTGGCTGGGGGGGTTTCGATGGTGGAGAGGACACTTGCTTTGACGGAATCAAATGTGGCGACACACGCCCGGGTGGTTGGCATGGTCGCGACGGAGACTGCTGCCAGGCGTTCAAGAAGAGGCCTGGCAGGCCGACGGATATTGTTTTTGTGTGACTGGGTTGGTCGGCGGACTGGGAGGGGGCCCTTTTGACAGCGGAATGAGCGAGAGACAGGTCACCGGGGCCTTTGATTATCACTTATCAACTAAATTTATGCGGCATTCACGATCTGGCTACGGCGGGAGCAATCAGCGCATTCCTGCCACTATAATAGGCCTGTAGATATCATGAACAAAACAGGAATGTATGGAATTGAATTGGCAAATTGAACAGAGATACGCGCCTCGAAAAGTTAATGACCTAGCCCTTTGTTTGCGACAGCTTTCCATGCCACAATAATGACGATACATGGTGACTCGTAGATATACATGAGAACTGTAAAATGGCAGCAGATTGCTCATTGGTCTTTTTTTGTCTCTGGTTTCTTGACACTCTCTCCCAGTGTCGCCGAATCATCCTCCTTCATTGCCACAATAATGTAGCTTATAAGCACCACGTTGGCCAGAAGAGCGGCCAGGCCTCCTGCAAGGGAAGAGTTTCCTGCTCGAAGGCGTGAGTAAAAGCACTGAAGGCTGGCGGCACTCGTGAAGAGGAACGACGAACCTTTGAAAACGGTGTGGACGGTCAGAAAGTACGAGCCTATGGGGACGACGATCATGGCGAATGTGAAACCGAGAAGCTTGAAAATGACATCCCTGTCCATGGGAAAGAAGAGGAGGGAGGGCCCGGGGTTAGCGGCTGCGTGTGAAGCTTGGGGTTTGCATGTGGGTGAGGACTCACTTGGGGACGGCGGGGGATATGTTTGACTTTTCGGGCTGGTCGTCTTTTTCGAGGATGGTCTTTTCGGTGCTGATGATGCGGCGGGTTGCCATTGTGGGTGGGGTGATGGATGGATGGGGTTGGGAACGGGGGAAGGCTTGTGGTTGTTTTCGTGTTTGTAGCCGTGGTGTTGGGTGGTTGTGATGGAAGCGCGAATGGTGTAGTTACTCGGTACGATGGTCCTCTCCACTTGCGAGTAGTTCAAGGATAGAAGTTCGGTTGAGGCCTACCAAGCGCCTGGACTACAGTCTGTAACGTTTATTTAGATGACACTTGTGGGCGAATTATTCCCAGTCGTAAGCCGTTTATTTCAGGGTTCCTTGATGGCAATTATTCCTCTAGCAGGAAATTGAAGAAGTGGCCGGCCATGTCTGGCCACGTCTGGCCATGCATCCCTCCGTTCGTAATCAGAGTCACACGTGACCTCGCGAATGGTGGCGGGCGTCAAAGCGCGCCGCGACGCCAACAGCCGTCACGAAATTTAACCCACTCTGTGCATTGAAGTGTTAGAGTGGTTTTGCACCGTTCCCACCCCTCCCAACACCTGTGCCGCTCGAATGCTCTTCCTACACTGAGAGCTGGGCCAGGAGGGGTGCGTGAGCCGTGTATATTGCTTTCATGAGTGTCGGATCAGCTGCAATACCCACTCTGTTTGCTCTTTGTTGTCATTTTTGCCAAGTTGGAACTTTTTGCTTGCGCCGGTCAATGCTTGCGTCTTCTGCCTTCCTCTCTCCCTTCGCCATGATCGACTCATCGCCTCCGCCGCCAACACGGCACTCAAGTACCGCTCCACGAAATCCGTCCACCTCACGAGTCCCTGCTGGTCTCGATGATATCGATGAATTAGCTGGGGACACTATTCCCTGCTCACCGTCGGCATTCTTGCGCAACCCGTCGCGAGAACGGGAGATTACACAACCGACACAGATTTTGAGCAAGCCGGGTTTAGCATTGGCCATGGACCGCTCCTCTTCGCCCGCTAGCATCATCGAAGTTCCTGCTTCTTCGCCATTCCAGCCAAAGGAGCCCTCGAAACTGGGTTCTCGCCTCGCACCTGCGGGAACCTTCTTTCGGCCACCGCCTCGACCACCACCGTCTCGTTCAAAGGAATCTAAGCGACCCGCCGCAGAGCCAATAAGTCTGATTTCTGACGACGAGGGCGACTCATCACCACCTAGGGGGGACATTCGACCAACCACGTTTAAGGCAAAGATTGCCGAATTTGTGTATAACCCGGCTGCTGAGGAGAGAGAAACCAAGAATAAGCTGCGACAAATATATGATGTCTTCGGCGACAAGTATCCTTCAGAGAGAGTCAGAGAAGCGCTTAGAGCGTGTGGGAACGACCTTGACGATGCAATCATCTGGCTGGAAAGTGCGCCGGAGCAGACAGGCAAGAGTATCTTTCCAGAATCCAGCAAGCCAAATAAGAGGCGGTTAGTATCAAAGGCAACATTGCAGAATAACGCAAGGAGACCAATATCGCTTGATCGAAACACGTCGCCTTCCCTCCCTTCAAGTCCGCCCCAGAAGAAAGAAAAGCCACAGAAGCGCCGGCTTGTCCAAGGATTGAAAAAGCGAAACGATTCCTCGCCTCAAAAGTCTTTTGACGGGCCAACATCCTCAAGGAAAAATTCCGTGGTGATTGACCTCGTCGACAATGATAAAGAAGATGCGTTTGAGGCCGAGCCGTCCCCCGCCCCATCAGTAGAGAACGACGATAGAGTACTCAACTGTCTTAATACAAGTACTCTCAAGGAACTCGCAGCAATGACGGGTATGAAAGAGGATCTTCTGGAACCCCTCATGGAGAAGAGGCCGTTTGATAACCTGTCACAAGCCCGTCGTGTCAGTGCGACGAAGAAAGCTGGTGCTCGAAAGTCGCCGAGAGTCAGCATAGGAGAGTCCGCTGTTGACGCTGTTGAAGTATTTCTCAACGCCGTGACAGCTATTGACGACGTCGTTGCGAAGTGTGAAACGAAGGGGCAAGCAGTCAAGAGTGTAATGGACAGTTGGGACCTTGACATGTTTGGTCACAACAAGCGAAGTAGTCGAGCATCCCCCGATAACGATATGCCCCCTACGCCAAGCAGTATGACTTCCAAGTACACATCACCATTGGTACCTCGGCAGCCCAGGATGATGGATGGACATTGTCGAATGAAGCCATTCCAGCTTTTTGGTTTAAATTGGATGTCATTGTTGTGCAGCTATGATATTGGCTGTATTCTGGCTGACGAGATGGGCTTGGGCAAGACTTGTCAGGTCATCTCGCTCATGTGTCATATGGTTGAGGAATATGAAAGGGAGCCCAAGGCGAACCGACCGTGGCCAAATTTGATTGTGGTGCCGCCGAGCACTTACAATAATTGGCTTCATGAGTTTGAGAGATTTGCTCCAGATCTGTCCGTTGTGGGCTACCGAGGCTCTAAGTCGGAACGAGCTGAAATCGCTTATGAAGTCGAGCGAGATCCAGAGTCGTATCATGTCGTTTTGGCCACTTATTCACAGATCAACTCGGATGAAGATATCGAGGCCATGCAGTCGTTTGATCTGAATGCAGCAGTTTTTGACGAGGGTCACAAAATGAAGAACCCAGAAACAAAGATTTATCGAGATTTGCGCCGCATCAATGCAACATGGAAGATGCTCCTGACTGGTGAGATAAATCGATGCGCAACTATTTCCGGGCTTTTTGAGTTAACTTGGCATAGGAACACCGGTGCAAAATAATCTGCTCGAAATGACTGCTTTGCTAAATTTTATTAACCCACAGATGTTTGACGGCTACATGGATGACATTCGATATATTTTCAGCCAAAAGGTTACGATTAAAGACGTGTCGAACGGAGCTTTCTTGTATGCCGAACGTGTTAGACGTGCGCGAACTATTCTGGAACCATTCATCCTGCAGCGACGAAAGGACCAGGTTTTGTCAGATATGCCGCCAAAGATTTGCACCGTTGTGCACTGCGACATGACTGATTCACAAAAGAAGACATATGCCGAGTATGAAGAGCTCTTCAAGCTGGAGCCATCTTTACGTGCATCCAAGGCCAAGGGGCGACAGAATGATCAAAACAATGCGTGGATACAGCTCCGCAAAGCAGCATTGCATCCCTTGTTGTTCCGACGGCACTTTACAGATGAAATGGTCACAGAGATGGGCAAGATATTAATGGATAGAATCCCACAATCTGAGCTCCATCAGCCGGATATCAAGCATCTGGTGCAAGAACTCAAGAATTCGTCTGATTTTGAGCTTCACCTGTGGTGTCGAGACTACCCCAGGTTGCTTAAGCAATTCGACATATCTTCTGCTGCGGAATTGGACAGCGGCAAGGTCACGAAGCTACTAGAGCTTATCAGGCAGTATCAGGAGAACGGGGATCGAGTGCTCGTGTTCAGCAAGTTCTCTCGGCTGATTGACCTTTTACAGGAGGTTCTTGCTCTGCAGGGCATTGATCATCGTGTTCTGATGGGAAGTACGGATGTTTCAGAGCGACAGGTGCTCATCGACGAGTTTAACGGGAATGCAAACATCCCAGTGTTTTTGTTGACGACTGGCGCGGGCGGTACAGGCATCAACCTCACTGCCGCAAACAAAGTCATCATCTTTGACCAGTCGGACAACCCGCAAGACGACATCCAAGCGGAGAACCGGGCCCATCGTCTTGGGCAGAAACGAGACGTCGAGGTGATCCGACTGATTGCTTCTCAAACAATCGAAGAGCTCGTCTACAAGGCGTGCCAGAAGAAGATTGAGCTCGCCAACAAGGTTACCGGGGCGCTGGAAGACACGCACGGCGCAGAACAGAACATGGAACAAGAAGTTCGCAAGATGATGCTGGAAGGGAAGATGACGCCCCCGTAGGGAGCGGACGTTGTCACACCCCGCCAACGGAGCTAGGCAAGAGGGAATTAAGACGCTCGGGGGTTTTCATGAGGGGGTTTATGTCGGCGCAAAAATAGATATGGGTTAGCCTTTGAGCATTTGTTTAGACATTGGCATATGACATGGTCTGAGGGTCGGAATGGCGCCTTCTTGTCAACATGGTAGACGATAGACAAGCATAGAGCGTACAATTGCTGCTTCACTGTACCCACGTGCCTCGTCAGTATGTAACCCTAGCTCTGGAATAAGATTAGCACCGTTCCTCCTGCTGTCGCTACGGGGTGGGCAAAGATGAAGGCCCTCTGGCAAATCATGCTCGCCAGCGCAAGCACGCGTTCAACCCCAGCCCGCGGCAGTCTTTCTCCCCCACGCAACCTCCCCCGGTCCCGCATCCCGCCTCGCATCTGCTCGCACCGCAGGCCATCCATCTGTTCTGTTGGCCCTACTTTGTCCCGCACGACGTAGACGCGCTGGCTTACTTTCCCCTACGGCCGGTCGTGTGCACGGCAAAATGCCGCAACAGGACCAGGGCAGAGGAACGACGCCGCGGGAAACCATGCAAGCGACGGGGCCTGGGAAGCCAGACAAAAGGAAAAAAAAAGAAGAAAAAAAAAAAAAGGCGCATCAAGCGCCAAAAATAAATTACAACCGCGGGCGGGCCCTTGCGGACCGGACCCTGATGGAGGCAAAGACTGTGGACCCGGCCGCCATTTGGCGCGACGCTAGTGCATCTTGGTGGCACGAGACAAGACGGACGGATAGTACGTATTGACTTTTTGGTTGCAATTACTACTACTACCCATCGTGCCCAAGCAGAACCAACCATTTGATTAAATCCATCCACGGGCGCTAGTAGAAAGAAGGAATATACGCTCCGCGCGTTTTCTGCGCAAGTCTTAAAGTAGCCAAAAAGAAAAAAACCGAACCATGCTTCCAAACAATTTCCTCATTCAGAGGGGGATATCTCCAGACCAAAATACATGAAAACCTTTCATTCTTCAGGCTGTTGGTTCTCTCTACAGATCCTGAAACCTCTGCCCAAACGCCAAAGCTGGCCCTTTCGCTGTGGGACCAGCTGTAAAAAACAAATAAATAGCTTGTGTTGAAAAAAAAAAGGGAGCTGCGTCTTGCATAGCCCCCAGCGTGAAATGAAGTCGAGATGCTAGTCGTTGTGTTCTGTCGTTGCCGTGAATGTGCTTGCTGCCTTGTAGACGCAAAAAGATTGGGGAAGAAATATATATGACATGAAAATGGGTGGTAATGGAGCAACTTCACCGCCAGGTAGAGTGTAGACGACGGCGGTTACTTGATCTCGTCTTGAGACCAACGTCCCCTCTCATGATGAGGCTCTTCCACCGTCGACTTACGCTGTGTCTGTCCTTGCCCAGATTGCGGGCGCAGTCGTGCCACTCCGACTTGGCGAGCTTGAGTTTCTCCAGGACGAGCTCGACTAGGATGCGGTCGTCCTCTGCGCTCCACTCCTCGCCGTCTGCTTCCACCTCGACCTCTGTTCCCTTGCCATCGCTGGAGCATCCGCCCTCTAGATGATGGATGTCGTGAAAGTCGGAACGTTGCAAGCCTAGTGGTAGCCGCTCTGGGGCTATCCGTGCACGTTTCGGTGTCGTGGGAGCAGCGGGCTCTTCAGGTTGGTTGTCTGAGCGTGGTTGCAACTGCTGGCAGTCGCTTCCGGACTCGACATCGCTGTCCATGTCCTCTTCCTCTGATGGGACATCTCCCCGGCCCATGTCATCGCCCCCGGGGCGGCGACGTTTGTTGATGCCGCGCGAAGGTGCAGGCCGCTTGACCATTCTTCTCGGAGCATACAAGTCCTCGCTATTAGTGCTTGAGCTTGAGGGCGTAGGACGTGCCCGCAGACGAAGCTTCATCGGCAGAGCAGCATGGGCCAAGGGAGGTGTAGGCAACTGCGCCAAGGATGGCGGCGGCACGATGGACAGGGAAGAGGGAGAAGCAGGCGTCGCAATGAGCGATTGTAAGGATCGGCAGGTCGTCATGATGTTGCCGAGAGCCGTGGCAGAGGTAATGGTGGGCGGACTGGCGGGAGGAGAGAAGTAGCTGGACTGAAGCGCGGGCCGCGACGGCTGCGCCGAGTCGCAAGAGAGTGCCGAGGGGAGAAGCATTGTGAAGTTGATGTTTTCGGCGTCAAAGCAAAAAGGTTGGTGTTGTCGAGGTTGGCGCGTGCGGCCAGCGAGGTTGGTTGGGCTGCGATGCGAGTCGATGACACGAAATTGCGCCCGGATGCGCCCGAGGCGGGCAGAGCAAAGAGCGTTGCGCTGGTTCGACGGGCAACGAGAGCGTTGAGATTGTCGATAGACAAGGCAAGGGGCACGGTTACGAGCGAAACTGCCGGTAAGCAAAGGCCACTCTCGAGCAGCAGGTTGTGATTGCGGCCCGGTTGCGTTGCGTTGCGTTGATATATGTGTGTAGGTGGACGGATGGTGTCGGAGGACCAAAGAGAGGCGGAGGCAGAATATACAACATGGAGAGAAGGGGGGTGGCCGGGGTGCCTCAAGGCGAGAGTGGACGACACTTGCAGCAACGGGTGGTCTGACTGTCAACGGGCAGGTGCATTGGAGGTGAGGGGAGCGACTTGCCAAGTTAAAGAGGATGCATGGGCCTAATATGGAAGCGGAAGTGGAAGTGGAAGGGAAGGGCAGGGAAGGGCAGGGGGGCGCGGGCTTGGTGGGCTTGGTGGGCTTGGTGGACTTGGCTCCAGAGTTTGGCTGTCGGTTCGGGGGACAACTTGGACGAGTCCAGAGACAGACGACAGACGCAGAGACAAGCTCACTAGCTGCGCATCATTGATGGACGAACGCAGCCGGGTGAGAGGGTGGGCCGCCTGATGTGCTGATGTGCACTAGAGGACCTGGGCCTGCGTGGTTCAGCAAGGGGGTTCAACTGCTCCAGATGTCGTGCAAAGCTGGCACGGACGAGAGTGACGGCGCGGGTACATGGCGCCGGTTGCAGACGACGGCCAAGCCAAGGTATGTAGCAAGTACCCAGGCACTGGGGCCGGAGCACTCGGCTGCTGAATTGGGGCAGCAGAGTCGCCTGGTGTGAGTGGGCTCAGCTCTGGACAGCTGCTGAGGCAGGTCAACCGGTGCTAAAGCTCTAAGCTATGGTGGGGACTGGGTACTGTCACTCCGCTAAACTCCCCGTAGCGAAACGGGTCGGGAGGAGCCTGAGCCCGCCGAGGTACCCGCCCGTCCAGCACCCATGTCCCTGGACCATCCATGGCTCCTGCCTTGCGGAAGCTGCTCGTTGAAGGAAGGAGCCTGGGAGCGTACCTCCTACGGTGTGCGGTGTAGCCCATCACACATGGCCATGACGACCAACATTCCTCCACCACCTGGCTGCTTCGAGGTCTCCGGACGAGCCAGGCTCACACCGTGTTCCGACTTGCTCTTGAATTGCAACTGCCGTCATTGCCGTCATCGGTCGGCGTTAAAGTCACCAGTGATTACCGCAGCAAAGGAACCCAACGACCAAGAACCGAGGCGTCCTGATTCCTGGGCAACGTGTGTCTCACACTACAAGAGCAGTCCATCGCAAACCCACCGAGGACAACACTGCGCTTATCAAAGCGCCGAGCATGTCGAAGCTCCCATCTTGCCTGTAAGAATTGCGGCTCTTGCAGCGGCAGATCAGAATATGCCTAGGTGCGCTTAGCCGCCGCCCTTGATCAAGCCCATCAGCGCACCCACTTTGTTCCTCTTTTACTCTCCCTTTGCTCACTTCCTCCACAGCACTGTTTTCAAGAGAGGTTGTGTGTCTGCCATCCGGACTGGCCTTTACGCACAGGGTGACTTGACACCACAACTGCTCACATTCTGAGCCTCTCTTGTTTTCTCAATCCCGGTGGCAGTCCTGTGTAACAACACCGTCGTTTGGGAACAACGGCTGTGCTTTGCACATCGTCATGCAAGAAATATACAATGCACGGTCCTTGATACTAGTAGCCTGTTTCTCCCTTGGATACCGATAGATCCGAATCGGTGTCGGTTGACGTGCAGCTGGCCCCGGCCCCGGCCCCAGGCCTGGTCAGGTTATAGTTCTGATGTGTCTCTTGCAACGAACTGTCCTGTCTAAGAAAAAAAAGCAAGCTGTTCCCAAACAACAAAGCCACAACAGGTTCGTTTCACCTCTTTAGCCTGGCTTCTGCCTAGCAACTGTACAGCACTATTTGACTTTCTGAACCGTTTCATACGTTCCCACTTGCACGGACAGGACGATATGACACAGATACAGCGGTAGGTATATTGTTTGTGGGACGTTGGACGGGAAGGCCATGTTTCTGCCCTGCCGCCATCACATCACGACTGCTTGGACGAGCTGATCTATTGTGGATGAAATGACACGCATGGTAAAAGAGGCGGCGCAGAGGCTAACGCGCCTCCCGTTATGACTGCATCCGGGCAAGCTTTACTCTGAGTGTTTCTTCCGCTAAAAGGCCGCGAATCAAATGGATTGGTAATGTGCGGTTGTGTGTTAGGACACAACTTGCTGGCGCAGCTATGAAGATGATGGGCATGCCCGCGATACCTGGACTATCGAGTCGAGCCGTCCGGATCCGGTGGCTGCAGGCTTCCCCAAGATCAAGAACCCTACACGGGCCCCTGCGGCTGTTATAATCGCATTATACTATATTAACTCTCTACCCACAAACCCAAGTGAGGAGACGAAAAGATTGCTTCATTCATCAACGGGCCCCCATCCCTCGCTCTCGCTAGTGCGAGAGAAGGCATTGTGTCATGCGCTTCTGCGCCTTCCCCCCGGCATCAAATGCAAAAAGGGCTCCTCTAGTTCCTTTGCCCCTGCAGCTGCATAATATCTTGGTGCTTGCGAGGCTGGTCTAAGATGGGTTCGGTTATCGTCCCTGACGAGGTCGGCCATCGAGGGGTCCATCGTCGTAACATCGCACTCCATTTTTACTCCCTCTTTGTATCTTGCGCCGGATCGGTTTCCTCAGAAACAGAGCCCCTCAAGGCTAGGACGTCAAAGAAAAGGGCCTCCCTTTAACAAGAGGCGACCCCATCTAGGCATCGTCCTTCTCCCTTGGGTCCATCACCAGGAGTAACAGCCCCTCCCCCTTGCAAACTCGTCTTATAGAGTGCTTAGTGGCATCTGACGACTATTTCTGTTCCTCGGTATTCCCTTTGTGAGGGGACTATTGGCACTATTCAACCCTCGGGTTGAAAATCGCAGCTCTTTTAGCTTGTTTTGGTTACGCTGAAAAGCGCCAGGGAGGGCAGTTGGATCTCACAGGTGTGGATGGAACTCTGTCTGGCACATGGATACAGACTCGAATCACGATGTCATTATGCAACATTGTTCATCGTGTTGGGCTCGAGGCTTTGGCATTCATGTAGGAGTCTGTCCGGGTGCAGCTAACGTGCAGTGATCCTTCAAGCGTCAAATACCTCAAGTCCTCGTCATTGAGACGTCTGGTCATTCCCAACGGTCAGCAGGTTACATTTTTTGTCTTTTTGAGACGCATGCATCTTGACAAGCATCCATCCATGACCACGGCCATGCTCTGCTCGTTGATTGCCAATGGCCACACACCGCCCCCCAAAGGACCGTTCATGCTCATGTGCAGAAATGCCTGCGGCTGACAAGCCATTTGCGGCTTGCTCAGATGACGTTGACGCGTCTCCGTCTCGTCTCGACGTCGCGATTCTATCACGGTCTGTCGCGTAGCAGGATCGGCGCCCAATCAACCAGCACGCAATTATGGATCGCTCCCAGTCACTTGATGGCATTTGGAAGTGCCTCGCCAGCCCCAAATGTCTCACCCAGTCGCGGCGGCAAGGCTCTTGATGGTTTGCGCCCCGCACGTTTTTCTTGATACAACGCATCATCCGGGATCCCATGTCGTCACCGCAGTTGTGAAGGGCCCTGACCCGGCAAACGTTGGCAAGCGTTGGCCAGATGGACTCTATGATGCAATGTCGCGGAATCCAACACGAGCCAGAGACTGGAGGGACAAGATCGGGGCCCGGGTGACGAATCTACATACATTGGCATTGCGAGCTGTTGTGCGCGTCCGTCGTCGTGTAATTCTCGGGTTGCCTTGATGCACACATTCGAAGCAAAACTACCAACAAGAACCCATCTCCCTGCATCCTCGGCCCTAAACAAGAGACAATCTGTGCATGTACGCGCCGAATCCGGGCGAGCCGTTTCCATGCAGGGCAAACACACATATGAACCTGAGGAGCGGGCACAGTCCAATAGCAACCAATAAAGTCTTTTCAGTCAGAAGTGCACTTGTTATCCCTCGCATATGCGAGACGTAGAAATGCATCCTGTCGCCGTAGCAAAGCCCAGTCGGTCTTGTTCCCTGCTACCCCAGAAAATGGCGGCCCAGAAAAAAGCGCAGACGTTGAAGCTTTGGCAAGGCGCAGGGGAGAGGAAAATGGCGTGAGATGGGATGGTGGCGGGGTGGGAATGGGCAATCTTATCGATTGGACACTTCTCCCTTGAGCTATTAGTCCGGCAGATGGACAAGTTTAATGTCGACTTATTCCTTCCATTCGGGGCCCCCTTCACTCATCCATCCGCCAGTGCTGCTAAAGGAAATCAAGTGGTGCCCAGGAGAGCCACCCGTCACCATCGTCTGGACAACAAGACTCTGGGCACACGTCGTCAAATAGCATCATGCCAAGCTACCCGTTTCGTCTCCAGCACCCGTCACCCATAGCTATACAGCCGGTGATGTATCGTAGCTAGGCCACACACGACATGACAACATCCCAACAACTGTAACTACACAAACACACTTCCACACGGCTCAGCTACCCATGACAAGTCCCGCCCCGGGACAGCGTATATTAAATATGCTGCAGCTGTATAGCAAATAAAGTATATATAAAACTCCCAACTCCCTCATCACGGGGTTTGACCAAAAGTGCCAGCGACGTTTAAAAAAAAAGGACGAAATGAAAACAAACCCCGTGGAATCCAAATCAACGCAATAACAATATGCAATGGGTCCTATTACGGCAATATCGCAACCCCGGCAGCGTTACTCCTCCCGGTATATTACGTGTCCTCCTCAACATGAAGAAAATAAGTCGGCAGTTTGTCTGCGAGACATCCAAAGGAAATATCAAGAAATTGCGAAGAAAAACTCCACGCCAAAAAGCAATTCTCGTCGATTCAGACGCAAAATTTCGCTGCAGTCCTCAGAACCACCTCCTCTTCAAGATGCCTGTTTCTATGCCGTTCCTGGCTCAGTACGTTTTTTTTTTGGGTCGTCAATGACCAAGTCCACGGAATGAACTTGCATCAACGCCCGTCTAACAGTTGGCCCAACCACGTGTCCAGGGTACATGTAATCGCGCTGGCGCTATAAAAAAGACCCTTTCCACACGTTGGGGATGTTTTGTTTCGAATGTTCGAGAATGATGATGAAAAAGAATGAAATAATACCATGACGTGTATGTCGAGTTGTCGCTGGCTATTCCCAGCAGCAATCCAACTGGTTGTGAGCAGCGCGGCCGCCTGCTCCAAGACGTAGGGGAGGGGTATGGGTATCCAGTCCAAACATCGTTGCTGAGATCAGTCGTGTTCTTCTTTCGTTGGCAATCATTGCTCCTAGCCGATGAATTCTTTCCGCTCGTCCAAGCCCTCGGCCACGACTCTCCTACATGATGACACAGTCCTTGTCGTCTTTGCCACTCTTCTTGTCACGCGGCGGTGCAACGTCCATGGGAGTGCCTCCTCCGCTGACAGCGGCTTCGATGACGGCAATACGCTGCTTGGCTCGTTCGTCACCAGACGAGGCGGCTTTCACGTACCAGACATTGGCCTCGAGAATGTCCCGTCGACAGCCGATGCCCATTTCAGTAAAGTACCCCACGGCGTACTGCGCCTTGACAAAACCTATATAGACAAGTCATTAATCTCACAGCTCTTCAACGCACTCTGCAGTCTGGGGTCAATTGTGTGCCGTCTTACCTAGCTCAGCAGATCGTCGCGCCCATTCGTACGCTTCCTCTGGATCCTTTTCCAAAATCGGAGGAGCTCCAACCATGTACCATGCGCAGAGGCCCATCATGGCAGCGGAATGCCCACGTTCAGCAGCACCGGTATAAAAGTGCACGCTTAGGGCAGGATCGCGAGGACAATTCAGTCGACCATGCTCGTAAGCATCACCCATTCGGTAGTTAGCCTCCGGGTGACCCAGGTCTGCTGCCTGGGTGAATAGCTCGGCGGCATAGCTCGCATCTGCAAAAATGTCATCACCGTATCCAGTCTCGTACAGGCAGCCAAGTTGATAAGGGGCAGCGTTGTACTGGGAATCAGCGGCCTCAGCGGCAAGCTTCAGCCACTTGATGCCTTCACGGTATCGCTTCTCGCCCAAATCACCAGAAAGGCATGCCTTGCCCAAGCGCGTCATGGCACCCGGATGGCGTTTCGAGGCGGCAGTCCGGAGAAACTGAACAGCCTTCACGGGGTCTTTCCGGCACCCCCACCCAAACTCATAGCACAGAGCGGTGCGGTAGGCAGATTCGGCGTGGCCGTGCTTAGCCGCGAGAACAAAGAGCGGAAAGGCTGAGTTGTAGTCTTCTTTCCCCTTGCTGAAGAGACCAGAGGCGTAGCCATCGGCAAGATAGTATTGGGCAAAAGGATACCCGCCATTTGCCAATCGCTGAAGGATCTGGCGAGCCTCGCGAACCAGGTCGTAAGGGTTGGTTACAGAACCCTCGACGATGGGGCTGTCGAGATCCCGCAATGGCTGCTGTGGGGTCTTTTTGACCTTGGGGTTCGACACATCCACGCCTTGCTCCTGTGCAGTTGAGATGAGAAATACGGCAAAAGAGTACTGGGTCGAGGCAGAGGTTGTCTTCTTCACATTCTGTCGATACATGTCCAGTGTTTTCTGGGTGCTAAGAAGAGACGCATTGTTTCCAATGACGGTTCGAAGATCCGAGTTATCCAGTGAGAAGGACGGGGGGGCCTGCTGGGGGTAAGGGACTTTGAGCAGTTCTGCGTACGACGATGGTCTAGCATCGGGAGACTTGCGAGACTGGACAGAAGGAGGGCGCATGTGAGAGCCGCCAGGCAGAAGGTTGGGGGATCTGCCGCGCGGGCTGTAATCCGAAAGAGTCGAATATGACGACTGAGGTCGAGGGAGAGAGTTTCTTTGCAGGTATCCCGATGTGGGGGTCAGGTGACGCCTGATGTGGCCCTCATTTTCCGGGAGATCAGAAGACGACGATGGCGGAATTTGGCCAGCTCCTCTGCTGGGAACTCGTGCAGGATGTTCTTGCTGTTGGTGGTGGTACTGGAACTGTGGAACAGACAGATTCCTGGGTAAGTTTCCCTCGATGATGGAACTTCCCGGCGAGTCACCATTCGGCGGGTACTCCGAATTATCGTTGACGCCGGAGACGGAGCTCACGCTTGTTGAAGCTGACGACTCGGCGGACGGTTGCTGCTGCGGCGAGGTGCTTGTTGTGTCGTCAGACTCGCGGCTGTTTCGATTCACACCTTGATTTCGGACACGATCCTTGGGGCTCATGGTGGAGGTTTCGAGTCGTTGGAACGATGCGGCCGGAAGGCTAAGATCTAGTGATGAGTGGGCGAACTTTGCTGCTAGCGCATCGACGTCGTCGTGAACGGGTCCAACGGTGGACGGTTGAGACTGCCGGGCGGTGGAGGTCGCGGACAAGGGAATCATTTCAGATCCATCTATGGAGGCGGCCGACGATGCATGACTATAGGAGTCTTGTGCAAGACCAAATTCCGCAGTCTGCGGCTTCGCATGTTCAATATTGGCATTTGACGGTTGGGCCCAGTTCTCGGCCTGAAAGTTGACCCTCACAGGAGAGGCCGGTGTGTCCCGTAATCGTGCACTGCCTCCCCCCAGTGAGGGAGCGTCGACAGTTTTTCTGGGGGCAGCGTCTGCGGGAGGCAATGCATAACCATGCCGGGAAGTGTGATCGTGATGATCGCCGTGGGCAGTAGTCATGGTATGAGGCGGAGAGGTGCTAACGGCGGCCATGGTTGAAATTGCCAATGGCACGACTGTCGTCGAAGAAAAGTCGCCGGTCGTGGAACTCGTCGTCGGTCTCGTGATTCCTACCAGCAACACATGCAGTTGCAATCGGCGAGAGTGGTATCTATAGACAAATCGGGCGGGTTCTCAAGTTGCAGCAACCCACGATGGGAAGATGCTACCGCGAAGCTCAGTCGCTGTCGGTTCTTTCAATGTAGTATTTCAACTTGAAAGAGACAGAAATTCCCCTTGTCGAGTCTCACGAGGTGGAATTGCACGGGGCCGCAGGAGGTGTCTGCGTGGAGCAGCAAGGGGGGGGTGTTTGGTTCCGTAACACTGCAGCTCACAACCGGGTACGGGAATCCAGGATGGACATGAACAAACGAGGGACGTTGGGACGTTGAAACCGTCGACTGGGGGGAGGGAAGCAGTTGAATAAGAAAACAAGACACTTCACCCGGCCACAGCCCTGAAGAGCGGTGGAGGGAGGTTAGGAGACGACGTCAATGGAGAAGAAAATTCCACAATCCGAGGGTGAGGAGTCGTCGGGCCAGGCGGCGGCGCAGGCAGCGAGCGAGAGAAGCAGGGCGCTGGTGTGGGCGCCTAGGCGAGACGGACCCGTTGACAGACCCGAGAAAGCAGCACATGCACCGCCCAGGCTGGCAGTGGCAGGGACGGGGGTCTCAAGCAGAGGCGGTAAACATTGATTGATTGATTGATTGATTGATTGATTGATTGATGGTTCAAAATCCCCGGCAGGACAGGCAGGGACAAAGCTGGCTGCTGCAACCTTGACAAGGACGTTGAATGTTGGAGGGGACCAGGGTCCAGCTACACAGAAGCTTATTGTAGTCGAGGAAATCCCCAGTGCCTTCATCTGGGCGCCCGCTGCGCCGGGACAATCTGGACGACGCCCAACGCAGATCACCCACGGCCACATCGGGACATCTGGGCTTTCTCTCGCGCGCCTCCGACACGTTTCCAGCCAATGCAAAACAGCGCCCATGACACCCACTGCCTTCAATGTTGCGCAAAGCCAAAGGCCACGGCTATTCATGGCACTCTGCACATTCTCCTGCCACTGCTGATGCTGTGCAGCCAGCCCCCATCCGCCTTGGTGCGTGCCATGGTGTGGTGGAGCGACATGCGGCGGCAGCGACGGCGACGGCGGCGCCTTGTGCTCATCGCCAACCTGCTCCGCGCCATGCGTGAGTGTCTCATTGTTACTCGGTTGATGCTGTGCTAACAAGTGATAGCCCTTGCGTGGCTTTCCTAGGCTGCCCTCCGCCCAAGACTCGACGGGCGCCTCCTGCAAGCCAAGGGAACCCAGGGAACCAGGGCCACGCACTTGGCCCTCGCTTGTCAAAGAGGACAGAAACCATAATCCGTACTCCTCCATACATGCTAGTGCTACGGAGTACATGGTACAATACTCCAGATGGTGGAGGCTGAAGGTGGCAGAGGCAGAAGGCCATCATTCTGCGTCTGGTGGAGCAAGACCCGAGAATAGTAGCGGGCGGAATGCATCATCTTCACATTGACTCCATGGTCCATTCTGGGCACTAGCCCAGCCCCTTGACGATGGGAATCTCGCTGAGTCTCACCGAAATCTCTATGCAGTACGGAGTAGTATGCCTCTCTGCCTCAACCCACGACCGGCAGTCGTCGCAACATATCGATGCGATATTACGACCAGCACGCAAATGCGACCAGACATGTGCAATGATGACATATTTTCGGGGACAATACGGGAGAAGCGCACTATCTCTCATGGGCCGCACCAATATATCCCAAGCCAAGAGCGGGCTCCTGGCCACCCATAGGGCCATACACGAGCTCCCATGTCGGGCCGGAGGGCATCTGACCATCGCAAGGACCTGGAGAAGGATCCGAGCTTCACAGAGCCAGGCCCGAGTGCAGCATCAGAGTCGATTCGAATCTTGACTTTTCCTGCAGGACTCGAGCTGGAAAACCGCCGCCAACAGAAGACTACGAGTGTATTCTTACGCTACTCAAAGAAACCGGGAGGGATGCTGGAAGTACTCTGTAGCAAAGCCAAATTTAGAAGCTGCTGATGTGAAAGAAACATGCAGGCTCAAACACCGCCTTTTCCCCCCGTATCACACGGCACGTCCAAGAATTTGCTCACGCTGATCGCGGGACACATCATCGGAAATGGCGGGAGGCCGGCACACTGCCAGGTCAGGAAGGGACCGCAGCCACAGAGGCCAGAAACAGCAACAGCGGATACCAGTGCTCCGCCGGTTCGCGAAGCTGCACATGTGGTGGGTGGTGCATGGTGGAGTGCCATCGTCTGTCGGATGCAGTGGACGAGAGCAGCAACGGGCTGCCATCTGACGGGCCCTTGTTAAAATTAATCAATTGACAGATGTTGCCCCATAAACCATGCTACGGCTACTAGTACATCATTATGTACATACATGACGGCCGCCATGGTTAGATGGGCGGCGCCCTTGGTGGGCTATTGGCAAAATCTCTCTCAGCTGTCCGTTGAATATGGGCAATAGGAGGGGCAGCTGTGTCCTCCATGTCTGCCTCGTCACTGATCAGCCCAGGCGACGTATGTGCCTGTCATCTGTAAGTCTGCCCGGTGAGGCGTCGCGGCTGAAATCTGGATTTGGATTTAAACAGGGACACAAAACTACCTGGACCCTACACGACATGCTCAGATTGGCAGGGGGGGCGAGACAGCTGGATGAGGCTGAAAAGAAGTGGTAATTTGCGCTTGACTACTCCGTACTTGCCGCGGCCGCTGGCTATGTCTGCCCAGGAATATTCCCACCAGCAACGAGTTTTCTCGTCGTCTGTTGGAGAATCAGCTACCCGTCAGCGACTAGTTTTGCCGCAGAACAAGACATGGACCATCCAACATTGTTTGCTAAGCGCTCTCTCCACTATGTTATTATAGTATGTATCATGTATGTATACCAAAATCACAGATTGGACATCAGCACTTGAACGAGACTACCACCAAAATAACCAAACCATGTGGACCGATTTTCCTATTCCACATTCACCGCACTATACGGTTGCTTTCTCTCCGTAATGCTGGTCACATCCCTTTATGAATGTGCGCAGGTCCAATTAATATATTTAACCTACTTATTATATAATACTTAAAAATACTTAAAAAAATACTTTTTTATTAAGAATAATAAACTAATATATTTTTATATACTTATATATTTTTATAATCTTATATATTTTTATAATCTTATATATTTTTATAATCTTAATTCCTTATTATTAGCTAGAACCCTAGTCCGTTATAAAAATTAGACCTGCGCACATTCAAAGGGATGTACCAGACCTTATTCATGTCAGCAGTCAGTCCCGCCAGACTACCACAAAAATACACGCGGAGATTTTCGCTGGTGCGTGGTTTTGGATTGCAAAGGCACAGACTGCGCACTAGACTCCTGTCACGTAGCATCACCCATCTGCAAGCACAGGCGAGCACATACATGAGACACGTGCCGTTGTGCAGGAACAAAGCAAGGCTCTGAGCAAATCGTCGTCTCTGGAAGATACCAGTGGACATGGGGTACTTGGTACCATGTTGTGTTATTGTAGTACGGCCAAACTAATCAATGTCGTGGAGTTTCAGGTCTATGCCCGAGTTGATGGACATGATTGTGGCGTCGCTTGGCATCCAAACCTTCATTTCTTTAGCACAAACACGGCTGTTTCGGGCTCCTTTGACTAACACTAAGGGCTGAGGCAGAAGCCAGCTTCAAGGTGTGAATAAAAGAGCTCCTGGACAGTCCCGGCCTGTCGTGCAATGAGACCGAAATCCCCCGATCGGGCTGTCCGGTTGTTGTAAGTCTAGGGTATGATCTTTTTTAAAAAAAAAAAATACTGCCGACATGGTGAGCCAGACTCGGCCCATGCCGGTCAGGGGATGCGATTTACCAGCGATTTACCGCGCCTGCATGCATCATTCTTCCTTGCGCCTTTACAACCAGACATGACACAGTTTTGCTGGCTTGGCTGTGTTGGCAATTTTTAAGTACTTAGCTAGAGCTGTCAAGAGCGTGCACAGTGTTCTTAGCCGCGACCCCTAAAGCGGGCCGTGCTGATGGAATGTCGTCATCCCTTCAATCGCGCGCATCGCATTGACGGGTCAAGTCAATTCTTTTCCTTTGCTTCTGGCCGTTCCACCCACTCCAGGGCAAGGGTCACACCAACGTCGGGTTTCGGCTCAGTCTTAATTAATGCGTCGAGTCATACCATTGTGGCACCGGCATCAGCGGTGTAAGTAGGGATTGGCAGTGATGCGGACAATATAGCTGTGTTCCCCAACCGTGGCGAGGACGGAACGATGGTCGCCTACTCCGGAGATGGGGTGCTCCATTCAATATTCGCATCGCCAAGGTGAACGCAGCTGATGAGGCTGAGGGTTCACGGTAGGCGTTGCTCGGTCGCCGCAAGGACGTTCAATGTTGGGTGTTCTCGACTGATCATGGTCTTCAGTCACCAAGCGACACGGCACCATCGACAACTGCCGCTTTATTTCACAATCAACTGATTCCCGGCGGCGCCATCTATTTGGCGACGTCTTGCCTCTCGTATTATATCCACAGTGATTTGCTGGCCGGGGTCAACCACCCACAGCAGTGACGATGGCATGCAATAACTGGTAGAACCCTGCAATAGGCGTGTGACCGTGTGGGGGTTGCTCAACGACAACTTCACATGTCGACAGTATTGGATGCTCGTTGATCGACTCTTGGACTGTAACACAACAGAGCGCCAGACGCAACCCAAACCCACGAGGCCGGGTTCGCCGCCGCATCAAAGTATGACGGGAAATGGAGCGCTGTGCGAAGGGGCAAAAAAAAAAATAGACGCTGGGAGATGGCGAATTGACGTCGAGGAGCCAGGTGAAGGATAGAGTCTTGACGTTTACTCCGTACACACGAAGCTAAAGGGTCAAGTGCTAGAATGGCAAATGGCTAGTGGTGCGACACTCTGCTGCAGGTTTC